ATTTTTTTAGGCTCTATCATCTCGTGCCGGCAGTTCAAGTACGCTATCAACGGGACGTGATGCTTTGACAAGGGAGGTCCGTCTACTTCGAGAGGCTCTAGATGGAATCAATTTCATCGATCGAGCCCAGAGAGGCAACTCTCCCTTCCCGAAGGGTGACGAAACAATCCCAGATTCATTCACCATGCCTGATGAAGTGTGGGTCTTCTATTGGTTTCAAACGTTTGTCCGCCAATGATGTCATAATATTATAAATTTCTTAACTAAACGCGATCTTATTCGAGTTGGCTCGCCAACGTTGACATAATCGAGAACTGAGGCGGCAAACGTTGATAAAAATAGATTCTTTATTACTTTAATAGCCTAGCGATATTCCTTATTTTATTTAGAGTATCGATCGAAAGGCCTGCTAGTGGATCGCGTGGCACGTCAGCAGTGGAACAAGCTCGGCTCAGTTCTCGTGGTTCCATTCAGCTTCTTTCGGATAATGCGATTAGGAATGATGAACCTCGATCTGATGGTTTAACCATACGAAGGTTCCGAATCGAAGGGGGACCCGACCATAATTCTGAAAATCATTTGAGAGAGCAAGGTGTCAACACTCATAAATGTGAGTCCAACTTTATCTAGATTTGTTTACTCTCATTTTCATATCCGTCGTTTTTTTGTTCGCTTATCTACTCGTGAAATTGCGGTGGGGAAGCATGAAATTGTGATAGAAAAGTCTGAACAGTAGTTTGCTGATCCGTGATATTAGTGAAAAATCGTTTTATACTGTCCGGTACATCAATATTCTTAATACCTCTTGAAAATTGTTCAAAATCAGACTATTTCCTAATATTTGATATCCCTCACGGATTGCTCTGCTTCTTTATTATCATTTCTAGTTCCCGTTCGTCACGTGGTTATAACTCACCGTGTGAAGCATGAGCTGGACCACGGTATTGGACGTACTCGTTTCCATATCGGGACACATCATCCCGAAGGAAAACCTCATTTCCACCCGTTCAAGTTGAGAACCACTCTCGACAGTAGCCAGCAAATCATGGATGTTGATTCAATACCTCACCTTGGCAAACGAGATGAAACGTGAGTGGGGGTGTTCAGGCCTTTTTTAATACTTGTGGGATCGTTATATGGGGTGATGGTTGTTTAGGAGAGACGCTATTTTCGATGGTAGAGCTGCTCGAGCTACAATACATGGAGAGGAAGAGAAAGAAATCGAACATCATCCACATAAACAGCGTAAAGGTGGAGGAAAGCGTGGCAGGCCAGTTCTGGTCGGAAGGTCGCTGTATAGTAGAGGTCGTGTACACTTTAGACCTCACGTCAATTTTCATCCGTTGCCGAGAGGTACAAGCACAGACGCAGAGGCTGATGTGAGTTATTGGCAATTACTAACTACTTCTTCTAGAAAACGAATATGCCTATTTAGTCCCAGGAATCTTCCCCGCTTGCTCAGGAAACAGCTGCTGAGTGTGAACGACATGATGCAGCTGTTATGACAGAAGAGCCAGAGGTTCGAGATAGTGCGAATCCGAAACCGGATGAGGTGGACAACGAAAACGATGGAGGTCAAAGCTCCCCAACTATCCGAAGAAAATCTCCCGATAATAAAAAGCTACCTTTTGTAGGTTCTGGTTTGAAGGTATGTTGATCAACAAGGGTTTTTAGATTTTTTATGAGGCCCTATCTTCTTAAGGGCGCGGACACTTTTTCCATTGCCGGCAACCAACAACAGGTCATGAAAGTGACAAGTACTCGCTTCCAAGAGTGGCTACCGCTTGGTTGGTTTGTAGTTTTTATGACTGGACATTATTTCTTGGCGTTTATCAAGCAATAAACTTTTAGTGAGGAGTATAATATACGATTCGCGATGTAAAGACTATGCACAAGCACTCAGGCGAGACCTCGCTCGACAGAAACGATCACATTCGGAACAAATGCGATTGTTACAAATGTGGGTCTCCTTACTTTGCAGTATCCCAATACTGCCCAGTTGCTTTATATCTTACGTTTCGATAGGCTGATAGTATTCTGTTCGATTTTAGTGCCTGCCTAAATTGCTTCATAACATTTATTTCTTTGATATCTTTTGAATATTTAGTGATTTGGTGGAATGCAGAAGCGAATCTGAGAGACGAGAGATCCGTGACGACATTGCTCGGCTAAAGCAGCAATGGACGCCTAAACATGACCGAGTGCTTTCTTGCGTAAGCCTGATTCTTTCACTTTCGAGTTAGATTTTATAAATCGGTCATTTTCAAATAGATTTGGTGTTTGTCGGTGACATGAATATTCATAGTAGTAGGTATCCCTTTGACTTGTGTTTTGGAATGCTTTCCGTATAGTCAAATGACAAAACTTTGTCTTTATATGCGTAGACATTATTAGGGTAAAGCGCATTCCACCCGGTAAGGAGAAGGGTGAAGAGGAATGAAGTGGAACGCAGACAGGGCTATTGTGTTATATGTGAAGCAGAGTTGTAGTTGGAATGCTGCCCTTTTGGAACGACTCTTTTTATAGCTGTACAGCGTTGTTGACCTTGTATTTCATTTACCCCTAGTTGCTTCCTGTGCGCTCATATTTCGATTTTAGCTGAACGAGCTTATCTCCAAAGGTGGCGTGTGGTCGAAGGTTCAGCAGCTGAGAACGATCCATTCTGCTCTTGTGGCTTGATCCTTTGAGATCTTTCAACATATCCCTGCTCACATTCCCTTCTGGTTGATTTAGCCCTATGATGTTGCGATTGAGCTCCTTGCCTTCTTGTACCTACTGATTGAAATGATTCACTAAGGCAATTACCTCACATTTACTAACTTTTTTCCTCTCGAGTAGTGCCAAATATGCTTTATTATAGATTCTTATTTATTTTGCATGTAGTCGCATTTACAAATTAACATTAGGTTATGGTAATTGAATGTAATCGAATAGTCTCGCATTCAATGCGCTTTAAGATGTATATTACTGTAACAATAGTAAGCAATTTATTTGTTGTCCTTAGGACCAACATTGTATATTGTGCATAAATCTCAGAAAATAAATCAGCATCGACTTGTTGTTTGTTTACAATGTATGGAACAAGCCGCCGGTTTTTGGTACGGTTTGGCAACAATGTTTTTGCTTTTGAAACATTTCAACTTTTCAACCCCTCTATTTATTTATTTGTTTGTTTATTAGGCAGTTTTGTACAGTGTGGTCTCTGCTGTTACCGGAAGGTAGTCTCCGTTGACCAACAACGACAGCCATGCATACGTCCTGCGTCTCTTTAAGGAGGTGGGGGATGAAATAGTTGGATTTTGTTTTGCAATGTCACAAAACATTCTTTTTGAAAACTTTATACTTTATATTATTCGAAGTTATAAAATAGAATAAAAGGAAGAAGGTTTATTTCAAAGTGATTAGATATGTGTTTCTTGTTTAGAATTGTTGTCCAGTCCGGTCGGTTATCATTTAGGAGGTTCCGGTTGTAAACTGTTTTGAGCGGAATCGGAGTTCTGTGGCGCAGTAGTTGAAGATTGTGGCGGACTATCGCCGTAGGTTTTATCCTCCATCTCCTTTTTGGATTTTGACCCGTCCTTACCCTTGTCATCGCCATTTTTAATAGTCGGTTCCGTTGGATCCACCTTATCGAGGTCTTGGTCCATTTTCTTCTTATCTTCTTTCTGTTCCTTCTCTTTCGAATCAATCTCCTTTCCAATTTTTGAATCAGCCTTTTCTTTCGATTTGGGCTCAATTTTTTCTTTCGATGGTACAGGAGGAGCCTTTTCTTTCGATGCCACTTCCTTTTCCTTCGACGGTTTAGGAGAAGCTTTTTCTTTCGATGCCACTTCCTTTTCCTTCGACGGTTTAGGAGGAACCTTTTCCTTCAATGCCGCTGCCTTTTCCTTCGACGGTTTAGGAGAAACCTTTTCCTTCAATGCCACTGCTTTTTCCTTTGGTACTGCAGGAACCATCTGCTCTTTTACTGCTGGAGAAACAATCCTTTCTTTCGACCCTACAGCCTTTTCGTTTGGTGTGACCGAATCCTTTTCTCTTTGTGTTACCGAAACTTTTTCTTTAGGTGTTGGCGAAACCTTTCCTTTGGATGCTGCAGGAGAGGCCTTTCCCTTTACTGCTACAGCCTTGTCCTTTGATCCTGCAGGAACAACCTTCTCTTTTGATACTGGGGTAACAACTTTTTCTTTCGATACTGCCTTTTCTTTTGATGCTGCAGGGGCAGCCTTTTCTTTTGATGCTGCAGGAACAGCCTTTTCTTTTGATGCTACAGGAACAGCCTTTTCTTTTGATGGTGCTACTGCTTTTTCCTTTACCTTAACCTTTTCAACCTCTTTCTTATCTTTCGGCTTCACTTCTTGTTTGACTTCTTTTGCATCCTTGGCCTTAAGCGAATCGTCCACCTCGGACGGCTTACGGATAAGTTCTCCCGACAGTCTCTTGCCCAGTTCACGTAGTCTATCATCATCTTTTCTTCGAATCCCAAACTTTTCAAAAAGCTTCCTATCGACGTCAGTCATTGTCAATTCCGTTGGCATGCTTCTTCTATCTAAGTCGGTGCTGGCTGTCGTGTGATCAGACGAGTCTTTTTTACCGTCGTCATCCACCAATGGTGAGAATATTTTCATAGTCTCTTTCTGTGATGGTATTTTGTTAATATGAAGGCCTCCCAAAAAAAAAAACTAGTAGCGATACTTACCCGTTTCTTTTTCTTTGGTGGCGGTGCTGAGTTCACCTTGACAGGGTCGCTTTTGAAAAAATCGGCCGCGTTTTCCCAAGCATACGGTCCTTTTAAACGTTTTTGCTGTAATATGTTGCGCTCATTCTTGTTTATCGTTTCAAGCCAGTCTTGCTGAAGCTTTACTTATGGTAATTGTAGAGCTTACAATGTTTCTGACGGTTTCCGGCTTTTCCCAATCATATGGATCTGATGGCTTGGCCCCCACACGTTTCATCACAGCAACTAAGCCGTTGTAGAACATCCTGAGTACGTAGATGACGTTAAGGCGACGTCCATTCGATCAAGTTTCGCTATGAACTCACGAGTAATCTGGCCTTTGATAGTAATCCAATGTACGCAGATACGGTATGATCCCATGGAGTTCGACTGAAAAAGTAGTTATGACTTTGTTGGTAGGTCCGTCATATTCTCCAAGTCATAGTTCATTTTTTTGATTAGTCAGTTTTGGATTGTGTTCGCGTCTCGTCTCGGGAAACCCGTTCACCCGAACAAGTTATATCGGGCTCCCAAGTTTTAGTCGCCGTGAAGTGCTTTACTCGGTGCTTAGGGGGACAGGCAGTCATGCAAGCGCAATCGACGCAAAAGTACCGCCTCCGGCTACCCAAAGGAGTTGGTTGTACTCGTCCAGAACATTACCTGGAAAATTCAGCACCAGGTCCTTATCGTTCATGTTCATTTTCAACAGCTCGACCTGAATATTGCGGGTCATAGGTTGTAAGGCAGAGCTGTATTGTTTCTTTAACGAAAGGCGCTAACCTTTTGCTTGTCACGTACCGTCTGCCATGGCAGTCCACAATGTAGTTCGATAAAAACATAGTAAAGCGACCAGAGATCATCACGGCGTCCCTTAACCCGTGTATAGAGGTTGGTTTTTCATGACAAGTTCCCGAACTAGGTATCTTTTCCAGTATCATACTTGTTCTTTCTTCTCGTGCACATTTGGTGAACAATACCGTAACGTGCCGCGGAATTCGGCCGTTCCTCGTGCCCGTCTTGCAACCCATTTGCCGTCTTTCTAAATTGTGCTTTGTTTTCCAACAAGGTGAATTAGGAATGAGCGTCGAATTTGTCTAATGATATGTCGTGTACAGGCGGAAGTGGTGTAGTGGCGAGTGGGCATACCTCCGGGATCGGTAAATCTACCAGATCCGTCTGGGAGTATAAGAGCTTTGACTTGTACATCGGCTGGCTATCGCAATTCATTATATAGGCCACATACACATTTGATAGTCTCTACAATTCGGAAAATTGGTAGTCAGATGCGTGGACCCATCCCTCACACGGGATTGATTAACACCCCAAGCCTGTATCCTTTTATAACAGGTGGCTCACATTGGAGACATTTGCCGTATCAGGGGCTGGGTAGGTTTACACCTTCCCGAAATAGCAAAGGCTGACTTCGTTAATTAAACGCGGGGCAGGTGAATTGTTGAGCCGAATGCTGACATATATCGCCAGTACGGATTATGGATGTGGAGGGACAGATAAGGATGAGATCTTCTAGCGTTAATCAATCCCGTTGTGGGACGCGCTCCCGCAATTGACTTCCATTCAGGGTCATGGTGGCGTAGTTGAATGCATATATCACCTGTACAAAGTCTTGCTATGGCCAACCGATGCTTTTATCCGGATATACATCCGGGATATCGATCTTGGCCGGCGCTATTTATGGCTTAGAAGGGATCGTCGATAGCGCTGTGTAATCTTCTGGATGAGGGGTTGAGACCTTGAAGAATCCGGTGAGAGGTTTCGAGCTTAGTAGAGACTTGAAGGGGAACGTACCTGTCGAACCGCATATGACCTGGATAGCCCAAAATCGAGAATGTGTACTAGTCGAGCCCTTTCGTAGTCTTCTCGATGTCCCATGACAAAGTTGTTGGGTTTGATGTCACGGTGCACAAAACCGTAGTCGTGGACGACTTTTATGCTGAAACTGGGAGCTCAGGCATCGATCGTACTCGGAAGAGGCCTTCAATACCGTACCTATAGAGACACTGTATCGCTATACGCGACCAGGTTTTCGCGGTCATATGCTCTTTCGGACAGCTCAACTGTAACATGGAGCATGGGTTAGGAACAGATTTGTGAAGGGCAAGTTGCCTTCAGTCCGATACCTTCAGTTCCTTCAAGTTTTCTCCAAGTAAGGTCATTATCATGTAACAGTATCGTCGCCGTTTAGCGGCATGAAATACATTTGGCACATGAGGTTTTTCACCATCAGAAGCGATTGCCTTCATTACGTTCATCTGAAACACCTGGTATGCTAATTACGTATGTAAACGATGTGGAGAGACGCCTCTCCATGAAGGTTTGGAGGTGTTATTGGTGGGTAATCACCCCCTACCTAGAATGGTCGGGAAAATGGCCTGGCGTCACCAATACTCAACAAATGGATGCGCGATAACTAGGGTCGACTTAGGCGGACGTGCATTGAGTAGGTAATTAGCCGATCTTCACTTTCACATCTAGCTCGACTCACTTGAGCTGTCCACCCGAATCGCAAGGAATATCAGGGTTGTTCTTGCCTAAGCGATGGACAATCTTCGATAAGCAACCTAGGATTAGGTGCATGATCTCGTAGGGGTACCTGAGGATTTCTGTAAGTGCTGGTGTTGGCTGTGAGAGCCCAAGCGGGCCTACACTACCTGTCGAGATCGCTGAAGCGGCTTTTGTTCTGTTTAAGGCTCTCTGTCTTGTAGTTCACTCTAATAGTGAGAATTTCTTTGGTTTCGAAAGAAGGACGAACCTCGAGTTTGAGCGCAGATCCACCTTCAATTTCATTTGATTCTGCTTTTAATGCTGCGAGTTTTTTGGTCATAAGATTCTCAACCTGAATAATAAAAGTAACGCTCGCTTGATTCTTTCAAATGCTTTATTGTATTTTGAAAACTTGGTAGTTCTTCTTGGCGCAGTCGTGGCATTCGAAGTGTCTACATTGTTGAGGAGACGAAGGGAATCATTGCATCAAAGACCGCTTACGCAATAAGGCAGTGTGCCTTCAAGCGTGTTGTTTCCACATCTCACTGTGCACGGGCATCACTTTTTTCCAGAGGAGGTAGTGTAGTGGGAAGCAGCGCACTTTGAAACGTACGATACGGGGTTCGAATTCCTGGTTCCGCCCAGGTCAACTAAATTTCTCGCCGCTCCATTAATTGGTATCAGGCTTGTCTGGGAGGATATGCGCGTCGGTTGGCCACGGCGCTACGTACGCATTCAGTATGCCACTACGGTACGCGGCGCACTGAATGCGTGCGTAGCCTATACAATGAAATGCTTCAAGGTCTCGCTTGGTATCAGGCTTGTTTGGGAGGATAAGAGCGCTGATATGAGCGTTGGTTGGCCACCAGTCAGCTTCCAGTTGGGCTAAATCCCTGGAGCGGTACTGATCGAGGCCAAATGACCTTATACTGCCTGCCTTCATCCCTCTTCTTTGAAACTTAACGATTATGATTGGAACTGTAACGGCATTCTCCTACAGTCGTGAAGTATGGCATGACTTTACATCGCGCCCGGGGGTGCGTGTCAAGTCGTGCGTCCGAGGGCGCGCGCGGCAAATTGCGCGGCGAAGTTCGTGGCGAATTTGGACGACTCCGGCGCGTATCCTTGGGACCCAAATCTGAAGTAGGGTAGATTAGTGGTCAGCTGATCCTACTACTCCACTGTACTTAAGAATCGGGCCCAAATAATAGGCGCTAAAGTCGTCAGAATAGGTATGAATTTCGCCGCGCAATTTGCCGCGCGCGCCCTCGGACGCACGACTTGACCGTTCCCCCGCGCCCGGATGTTAGCGCAGAAAGTATCAGTGGTTGAATTTTTTTATACTTCTCATACATAGGTGTTAAGACTTAGCAAATGACATGCTTGAAACACTCCTCCAACCTTTATCTGTATAATTTGTAGGATTGACATACTTTATATACTTGTCCAAATCCTCCCTCATCGATTCTTCTTATAATCACCCAGTTTCCAAAGCTGGAAATCATCTCACTTTAACTTTATCAGTTATCACTTCAAGATATCTACTGTGTTCATTTTGTAAACAACGAAGTGGTTCATTGACCGGGGGTGGCTCTACATGTTACGTGGTAGCGGTCTAGCGGTTGTACTGGAGTGTCCCTCGTATTCACCCCTCACAGAAGGCTACGAGAAAGCTCAATAGTCGATATCTGACGCAGAGACCTACAAACTAAAGATGGGTATCGAACTAAAGATGGTATGTTTGTCACAGGATGTCGACTGCGCGTTCATAGTAGGCAACTGAGGCGGTTTGGCGGCTTGAATCCTGACCAACGTGTTTCCGCCTAAGAAAGTTGGTGGTTCGGGGGTGGAAATTGACTGAAAAAGTGTTGGGCTCCTGTTTGAGTCCTTTGAATGCCATGGCTGCTCTGGTGTCAAGGTTTTGCGATCAAACGCTGAAGGTCGTGGCTGCCAGTGAGATAGGCGTGGTCCATCGCCTGTAGGTGGATGAACCAGAGAAGCCCTCTGTCAACTGACGTCCAGATAGATCCGTTGAGCCGCCGAGGACCAATCGTGACTATCTGTCGCCGAGGTCTCCGTTGAATACAGCGAAACAGAACGTACCGTTTGCCAGGAGGAAACCGAGTAGCAGCTTGGTCATCGATCATTGGGATCGCGACAGTGTTAAGAGTGAGTGTCTAAGCAAATGAAACATACTTGGCTTCCCTCTGAATGTTGACTTCTCTTGGCCAGAATCTTTATCACATTATCGGTAAGCTAATTTGATCATGCGAACCTTACCATAGGGTTCATTCTAGCAAGTAGTATTCTATTCAGGGTTTTATTCCATTTTGTCTTTCAACCAGGCGTTCTATGTTGGAAAAACCTTAACCTACAAAGAATGCTTGGTTGAAGGGGAGGTTCAACCCCGAGACAAGGGATGATGTTAAGGACACGAGTCTGAGCTACATGCCGTGCCCACCGCTCTCCTCGATCAAGTTCAAAGTTTGATTTGGATCACCTAATATCACCTGTATCATCTGTCGCCCCGTTGACCATCGATTTTCCCGAGCGGATGCCAGTAATGTCTCGATTCGAGGCAGTTCGGTAAATCATCCTCGCACAAGGGACACGAGGCTTTTCGATCAGAACTTTCGTGAAGCATCTGAGCCGCAGGTTGGCAGTCGTCCTGGTGTTCGTTTGACGTCTCGAGGGATCCAATCAGTAACAAGCTGCTCAACCGTCATCACGATATCGCGCCAAGTGTCCGGCACATCTGATTTTCGGTTCCTAGGCGTAAACAGCGGCTTCCGCAATCTTTCAGACGAGTATTCACCAGGCCAAAGAGTTCGCATCCATCAGGTAAGCTAGAAGAAAAGCTGTGAGATGTAAGTCTCAATGACTCTCCTTGTCACTCCCTCTAGCCAACTTTCCTCGATTGGCCCTCACTGAAAATCACCCGATTTGTTGTGCGGCCTCATTAGATAGCCGTCACATCTACGGAGAGTGACATTTGCTACCTTCTTCGAAATTTCGGCTCAGTTAGAAAACTGGTAGATCCGCTATCATCTTAATTCCCATTACCCCATTTGGGAGCACCGTTAATAGACGCAATAAGATCTGCAAAAAGTGCGTTATTCAAAATAGATCTAATAATGAGTTTGACATGCATACGCTTGTGGAGTCCACCTTTGCAAAATGTCGGCCTTATTCAAAAAGTGCCAGGCTTATGATATGGTCCAACCAATAAGACACCAAATTCATTGAAGCGGCATTCCTTTACCTTCATCCCGCCTCTATGGAATGGTTTGTATTTAAGAAGACAAGAAGTTTGGTGACGACTTCTAGTGGTGGTGCAAACAATCAACAACTTGAATGAGCTCCATTCATGATCCCAGATGAGCGGTTGCTCCGTTAGAGAAAAGATGGATCGTCATGAACTCAAAGGATGAACTAAGGCCTCTAGGCAGCGCTCTATTTCCAAGAAAAGGTCCACAGAACTGTACTTCGTAGTCAAAAGCGAAACTTCGCTGTTGAGTACATGCCCGTTTTCCAGAGCTCTGCTCCATCTGGGTCTTGCATCGATTTTGTTGCGTCAGCGTAGTTCTGACACTCTTCTCCGGAGACCTTGTTTTCAGAAATGTATCATTTGTTCTATAAAAGGAGTGGCGTGGCAGCCGTTCATTCCAATTACGTCACGGGAAGGACTGGAAAGGGCTTTCTCAGCTCCAAGCTTTATCCTGTTAGCAAATAAAAGGTTGTTTCACTCTTGACTTTGCCGCCTCCTGTCTTTCACTGTTGCCGTCTGATTTAGGAAAGAAAGTGCTGTGGGAACTTGTAGGAGGGAGTCTTCTTGCTTCTCTTGTGATGTCGATCGCACAATCATTCAATCATCCCAGGAATCGGTAAATGAACAAAATTATTCGGTGAAAAGTAGAAACTGATGATCATCGGAAGGGTATTGAGATTCAAGCAAAAAAGAAAAAAACTCGGCATAGCAAAAGACTCCATGCTTTCCACCGAGTAACTGATTTCCACTTAAATGACCGAGATATTACGCATCCCCCTCTCGACCTCCTAATGACGAATAGCCATAGCTTAAAGGCACAGTTCACGATAAAAATGGTTTCTGAGATTCCCCCACACGATGAACTTGAGACCCCCCACGCATACCATAACTGGCACTATTAGGTCGGAAAACGGCCTAGTTAGGGATTTGTAAAGGCATAAAGTTCGGCCCGTGTGTTTCCTCGGACGAGTTTCACCGGCATTGTAGAGGTAGCACCAATTAGAAGGGAACCCATGTAGGAAGTTCAAACAACTTGTCATGACCATAGCGACAGTGAAAAGCAGTTTTGTACAGTTCTGCATTGATGTAGTCAGCTCTTTGCGCGAGTACAGCAACTGAAATCTAGTCCGAATACCTCTTCCATGTTATTTTCGTCATGGTAAACTCGTCCAACTTCTATTTCTCGCACTTTTAAGGAGCCTTACTTTTCTCGAAATCACTGAATTCTCTCGCTACCGATGAGCTATTCCCAACCTATACTTCCACTTTTTGTGTAAAAGCAAAATCAACTGTCAACTGTGCTCCTAAAAACAGACTTTTATCAATTCAAGTACCAGTATAATCAGGATGAGTGGCTAAGAGACAATATACGTCGTCTCCATTAAGCACCCTCTCACCGACAAAGTGTATGATTACAGAAACTCGAACTAGTAACTAATGCAAAATAAATTCAAAAGGAAGGAAACATTTTGAGAAACTATTTATTTTTGGACAATGATATGCCTGCAAAGTTATCACTCGCAAGTATGGCAAGTTTTGGCACAGACGTCGCTCACCATTTCGCAATTTCCTTCTTCGTGCATCTCATAACAAGTTTCATCGTCTAACTCATTTTTACACTCCTGAAATTGACGGTATTTCAGAAAAACGTATCATTCTGAGATTTATGAATGTCCTATGAGTTCTGTTACATTCTTGCCAGGAAAACCCTTTGATCTGTCAAATATCAGCTCAGATTGATCATGATGGTATCCATCGGCATAGTAATGTACCTTGGTCTCCTCAGCTTTTGTTGTGAAAGGATTGAACAGCAGAAGGGCACATACAAAGTAAAA